GGCTCCGCAAGAAAGGCCTCTTCCACATGGCAACCCGAAAGCGATTCGGGAGTGAGCTTGAAGCGGCTCTGGGTGAAGGCTGCCGAAGAGCACGCATACATGTGGGGTGTAGCAGTCGCGGCTTCCGACGTATCAAAGCAGACAGATTGGCAGCGTTGCGAGGCTGAGTAGACATCAGAGTAAGTCGATTCGGACTGCGAAAGTCCCTTGAAACGGCCAGAAGCGCGACTGGATCTGATGCGTCTTCGGGGAGGTGCTCCGACAAGTCGTCTCTGACGCTCGTGCTGACCGTCCGACGGCTGATGGTGAGTCAGATGAGGGGCGTCATTGCGTGCCGCTGCTTGCAATATCAGTACTCCGGTAACCGAACCTCAAATTTTACGAATGGGAATGCCTCACAACGATGCCGAGAGGAGTCTGTTCCTCCAGCCCTCGAGGCTAGAGGCCTCTCCTTTGGTGCCATGCTCTGAGAGTATCCCGTGGTTTCCAGTAGAATCGGCAATTTCCTGGATGGGGCGCCTGTAAGCAAGTTGGAATAAGTTTGGGGAGGGTTGAAAGGAAAGCTATCGGTGCCACAGATCTAGAAGGGTTGTTGTGGTGAGGCAGGTTATAGGTGCAACACCATGGAAAGAGCGCTGAGGCGCTCCTTCCACGGAAAAACAACTTCAAGTACCACCAAAAGAAGGAATCGAAATCAGGCAACACCCTAAGGCTTAAAAAAAAAAATGGGAGGTACGTACCTTTTTGTATTCCATGTGCCCTCAATATGGTACTGAGATGGCTTCTGGTGCCTGCTGGGGATTTCCTCCCCTTATGAAGTTCTTCTTCCAGGATCCCGAAGTCAGTCCCTGGCGGGCGGTGAAGCAAGGGATATTCGCAGGCGCTTCCTAGATCTTTTTGACGTGCAGCATGTTGACGTTGTTGAATCGCTGCTTCAGTGGTACCAGCAGAAAAAGGGATACGAAGAAAACGGAATATCCTGAAGATCCTCGGCATCATCAAACACCTTGGTGGGTATTGGGGGATCAGGACTATGGAGATCTCTCGAGTTACTTATGGAGATAGCCTGTACTCACAACGTACCTATCTCACCTGTCCTGATTGCTTGCGGTTCTCGTCTTATCTAACTCTTGTGTGCTGATGAGCCTTTTGTTGCCTCACAGATCTTTACCACACCACAAGCCTGCTGAGGCAGAACATATGAAGTGTCATGTACCTTCGTCAATATCGGCAGTCACAGTAGCCTAAAAAGGGTGCGAAATGAATCATGATCAAGTAGTGTACATTCGCCGAGGCGTGCTTTTTGTGTCTACATGTGGAATCTAGAACCACCTATCCCCGTCCCAATACAAAGAAATTTGAGAGGCACTCTAGAGGCAACATCCTCAGAGTGCCTTATTGTCCCCGTTCTTTAGTCAACTCTGAGGACTCTGGGGCCGCGCTTCTTAATGGCCTTCTTCTTCTTCTGACCTCTCTCGAAGGCTGCAGCAGCCTGGTGGTCACGGCCAACGTTGTCAAGATCCTTGACCTTGTAGATGCGAATGATCCAGTTCTCACTGGTGAACGCCTCCTCAACGGTGTCAAGCTTGGGGCCGACATCCGGGAGACGAACGCCACGGACGCGGTCCTGGGCTTGACCAGCGGGGAAGAGCGAGTTGTAGTTGTAGTAAGACATCTTGTACCTATGAGATTGTTAGTAGGAATCCAGACTGAAGGAGTATCTTTTCTCTTACATCAAGCTGTTCTTCATGGTGTCGGTCGCTTGGTCATCGACTCTGTACTCTCCACGAGGGGTGAAGAACTTGCGCTCCTGGACCTCTTCGGGCCAGATGCCCTCAGCAATACGGACCATCCACAAGAACTTGTTGATGTCGTCACCGGAGTAGCCCAGCAGACCACCGAACACCACAAGGACGTAGTCGACTTCGTGCTGGCGCATGATGGGGTAGCTGACTTCCTCACGAGAGCTCATCGCCTTGCCGACAGTGGCAATGTGGGTGTTGTTCCACGTGTTATTGTCGACGAGAGTGGGACGGTCGGCCATGCCACCAATCTGGTAGCCGTAGTCCCACCAAGACATGATCTTGGCGTCCTCCTTGGTGTTCTGACGGAGCCACTGGTAAGCCTCGCGATAATCATCAATAATGTGCTGGCTTCCATCGGGCAGTCGGCTGGCAAGGACGACAGAGGGCGAAGAGTAGGCATTCGAGGTGACCCAAGTGCAGTGAAGCACAAAGAGGAGCAGGAAGATGGACATGCCACCAACAACGACAGCCTTGGAGAGGAAGGTGTAGATACCGACGACCGGCTTGCTGGTCGACTTGAGTCCGCTCTGCTTGGCCGCCTTCTTGGAGGCTCCCTCGACAGCATCATCGGTCTTGTAGTCCTCAGGGTTGGGGGACTTGGCGACCATGTAGGTGTCGAGGATTTGAGATGCCGCCATAGCCGCGGCAACGCAGACAATGGGAGTGAGAGTAAGCATCAAACGCACCATGACACCGGCAAAGTAGGTGCCAAAGAGGGCGTAGACGACGACGAAAACGTGCTCATCCCGGAGGTTCTGGAAGCATAGGTAGACTCCAGCAGGGAAGAGCCAGACAAGCATGTTCAGGTCGAAGAAGAAAGCAGGCCAAGCGGTAGGCTGGTGCTCAGAGACTGATGCAATAATCGGGATGTGAATCTTGGCGTAGCCAGTATCCCAGAGAGAGTAGAAACGACCTCCCCAAGGGGCGATGTATCCGAGCGATGTCAAGGCCACCAAGCCAGCAAGCGCAAGACCGAATGTCGCAGCCAGGAAGGTGTAGACGAAGGTCTGGAACTGACGACTGGGAATAGCACCTCTAACATAGTCGATGAAGGCAACGAGCTGCAGGAAGCCAAAGACACCTAGCGCGTGTTAGTTCACATGGACACAAAGCTCTCACGTTTCACTTACCGAGAGCGGGCATGTGCTCGCTGGTCTTGACGGGCAAGAAGCCGACGAAGGGGATCTGCATGCTAGCCAATGTACCCAGAGCGTACCAAGTGGTGTAGCTGACGTAGAGACGGGCGCTGTATCTACCCATGAGGATCAAGGTCAGAGCATGCAGAGGAAGCATGTTGGTGATGAAGGCGTAGCCACCCCAGGAGGCGACCATGTAGCCGTAGAAAAGGGCGCAAAGAGCACCCCACAGCATGGAGCCCAGCTTCAATGCCTTGATCCACAAGTAGAAGGTGAAGACAAGAAGGAAAATGGCGATGGCCTCATTGTCGTAACTGCCGGCAACTGATCGGGAGATGTAACCAGGTGAGATGCCCATGAAGACAGCCGCAAGCAGACCAGCCGAGGGCGAAGTGGTCATCTCATTGGTAAGAAGGTAGGCGGCATAGGCGGTAAGGCCGGAGAAAGCTGGCGCCAGAAGAACGCAGATGTTGCGGATATCGACGGGGACCGTAAGAGCTCGAAGTGCGTGGTAGATGGCGCCGCTGGTCACCATGAGACCGGGGTAAAGAGTTCCTCCAGTAACCCGACCGAGAGGATGCCATGTCCGATCATCGAACCAGTCCCAGAACTTGGTGAATCCATTGGCCACAAGGTACTTGGTTGCTCTGAAGTTGAACCAGGGGTCGACTGGTAAACGATTAGTTTCGGGTACGAAGGAAGGGACGTGGAACGGGAAGAGACCAACATTCGTGAATGATACTCTCGAAGCCTGTAAAAGTTGAGTCAGCGTGGTTCCTTTGCAGCGAGAAGTATTGCGATGAGCGACTTCCTTTCCAACCAATCCAACCACCAATTGGTGTTGGTGATGGCAGGAAGGAGACCCTTGGCAACGTGTCGAGGGGCACTTACGAATGACGGAGAAGAGACGACTAGCAACAGCGGCAGCTGCGATCAGAGACAAGATGGTTACTCTGAGGACAGTTCGTGTGTTCTCTTTGCTGCCTCCGGAGAGGGGTCCAAGAGATTGGGCCGTCATTGTGGCCGCGTTTGGTGTAGAAAGGCAGTGGCCGTGTAGGTTGAAGGTTGCGAAATGGAGCTGGCGACGACAACCTTCTGTCTCACAGCAAGGTATCTGAGAAGGACAGCTTGGAGCTTATGCACCTGAATCGGTGGTGCAGGGGCAGCGTGCACGGTCCATGGAGAGCCGACCCGTTCAGTGGTGTGTCCCGTTGACAGCAGCCAAGTCGTGGCTTCCGCGTAAGTCTGGAAAAGGCGGAGTCACGTGTCTCGGACAAAGAATATCCCGGACTAAGGGATCCCGTCCCGTCCGGGGTGGCCGGGTCAGTGCCGGATCCCGGCCTCGAGAGTAGATGGCGTATGCGGTCCATAAAGTACGTTATCGTAAGAGACGCATCATGCATAACGGGCAATAGGAATACTCAGTCTACTGTTGCAGCTTCGGCGCATTCCATGGAGATCCCTGGAAAGTTGATGAATGACCATACAGCACCATACTGTTAGAGATGAATGCGTATCAGACGAGTCATCTAATCTGTGTCACGAGCGAAAGCCTCCAAGTGGCTGCCCACCTTCTACCTAGATATACCGTCGGAGTTTGATGTTATGGTTCAGTCGGCCAATATACAGCTACAATAACCTTCAGCCATCTGCTGGAACCAATTGCAGCAACGTCAGGGAAAGCAGCATTTCACTGTCTTACAGGCCACGATGGACCTATGTGTCGATTGTCAATGCATATAGAACCCGCTCAGGCTCAGAGATTGGGAAGTTGATGCGCGAGAAATATAAGTAATTGATGGAATCCAATGGCTCGTTCCTTGGAATTGTCATCTAGTAGAGCGTATTGTACACATGTACATCCGGTAAACAGACGTAAGGAAATGTCTATGCGGTGACATCGGGCATGGTGCCTACCATGCACCTACTGCTGCCAAAAGACCAGATTATTCGTCCCTTGTTTGGACTATTCGTGTTCTCCGTGAGCAGGCGTATCCCCAATCCTGACCCTGTCTATCCGTTGTGCAAGCCGTCCCCTTCCCCCATTCGGTTATCCAGTCTACGGGTTCTGCTTCACCAGGTTGTTGAAGTAGGCCTCAAGGTCGAACTTGGGGTCCATCGGGTCGACGTTGGCTGTGGCTGATGTCAGTTTTCATGAGTTCTGTGCGAGCCGCCGACGAGGGCGAGAAGTGACGGGCGAGGACTGCGACGTCCAAAAGCCGGCCACGTCTTATCGAGGGAGAAACGCACCACCGGCATCAGCAGCCGCCGCCGTGACGGGCTGGCTCTTCTTCGCGAACTCGGCCTTTGCTTGATCGATCAACTTCTGCTTGCGCTCGTACTCCTTCGTGGCAGCGGCAGCCTTCTGGCTTGCTGTGATCGTTCGCTGATGTGTGAAGCCGTAGAACACACCCAGGCCAAGGGCCGTGTATCTCAGCACCTATAAAGTCCATCAATCAGCCGAACTGTTCATACTCTCGAAAGCGCAAGCTCAATGCTCATGGTCGATTGGCGTGGCGATGGAGGGTCGTCGGTCGGCTTAGGGAGACAAGGTGGCTGGGTGCTCCGCAAGATGCGGACGAGGGCGAAGGACACGACGTACGTTAACTCCTGAGGAGGAAGACATTGTGGGCAATTGCCTGGATTGCGCGACTGCTTTCGAGAGGGAGCGAACGATGGAAAGGACAGTGCGCGGGTTGACAATGGCTGCCAATTGACCCTTTCGGAGCTCTGTCGAGGGAATTACGTTAGGGGACGCAGGGTGTGAGGTTTTCCAGGTTGAAAATATGCTCGGGAAAACTCGCAGATTTTCCACTGGTTGGCCGTCAAGTCACTCCCGGGTGTCTGGAGCTCGGACGGGGAATACCATCCCAGCGCCAGTGCTAATGGACCGCCTATTGCCAGCGCCCAGCGCCCGTCGCCATGCTGACTGAGGTGGGCTGCCCAGAAGCTTGCACCCAGCCGCTGTGCCGCTGAGGGACCTTCCTTACCTCAGCGACCGAATACCGCTGTGCAATTTCGCCGACGCTTTGCCGATCTGTCGCAATCACGTGCGTCACTTGCCTTGCAAGGTTAGTTGCTTCTGGTGGAAATGTCCACCAAGCTACTAGCAAATGGGGACCGGGAGGTCAACTTTAATGCAGGGGCCAACGAGGTATCTTTCTGCAGCATTTGGGCTGAAGCTGTACCTGACTCCAAACAGGGGTCCCTCTGGAATCGCGACTGGACAACGCGCATGGAAAGGGAATCCCCATCAAACCGAACGTCGCTGCGGTTGCCAAACACTGTCACAGGCATCCGACATCGTCAACAAAAAGGCAGCTCCTATTTGACCTTTGTGCACCCGGCTCTCGGCCTCACCTGCGATCTCTCGACTCTACCTACCTGATTTTGCAACGTCAGTGTCTGCCCCGCGACAATCCACCCCACAGTCGGCCAGTCCCGCGATGGGATTAAGGAGAAGACAAAATGCAACAGCGACGAGATGAAATCCTCGCAAAGAAGGCTAAGCTTGCGGAGCTTAAGCGACAGAGAGAGCTTCGTGCAACTCAGGCAACAGCAAGCCGGCAAAGTGCAGGAAGCCCAGGCGACGTGAGATGAGCCGGTCCCTTCACCGATGCAATCTGCTGATGTGCTGTATAGCTGGTCTCCCCCATCCCAGGCCGAGCCGAGAACCGCCGCGACATCGAAACCTTGATCAACAGTTTGGTGGGAGAAAGTCGACCTGGATCAACGACGGGAGGAGCTGCGTCACCGGCCCGTAGGGGGAGCCGGCCCAACAGCGTCCTCAGCGCAGGAGAGTTGAGTACTGCAACATCGGAGTTCGCAACCCCCGCCAATGGCCAACCAACTCCGGCCCCAGCTCCTGTTGCAACTCCCGTGCAGCTGAGTCTGACGACGGCACCGCTCACGACTATTTACGAAGTTCCCCCATCTCCTGTCAAGGAAGTGCACTCATACAGCAAGGGAGTGCAAACGGCGGAAGCATGGACTTCGCCAACCCGACCTAGAGCCCAGTCACTCTCCGATACCGAAGACATCCCTCCGATCACATCGACGCCCAGCAAGAGACTGAGCCGAAGGCAGCGGGATCGCGAAGAAGAGCTGCGACAGGACATTCGAAAGGAGGTGGAAGAGGAGCTCAAGGCCTCGCTGGATCTGCTCAAGGACGGTGTGATTCCGAGCGACACCCCGGCGAAGGCGAATTATCCTATGCGCAAGCTTACTTCCGAGGAGCTGGAAGCCGTCACTGGCGCCCCCGACTTTTCTGAATTCTTGGAGAAATCTACGAAGGTGATCGAAAGAGCTCTTGATCAGGAATACGATATTCTCACAGATTATGCCCTCCAAGGTCAAGATGTGGATGACGATGACGATGATAGCGGCAACGTTGGTGGCAAAGGTCGGCGGAGAGTCAAGGAGGTGGCCCAGTTCTTCGATGAAAGATGGTCGAAGAAACGCATGATCAGCAGCATCGACTTCTCACATCATCATTCTGAGCTGATGCTGGCATCGTACACCAAAAACCCAACTGCACCACACGAGCCGGATGGCCTGGTCCAAGTCTGGAGCTTGGCTCTGCGTGACAGACCAGAGTATGTTTTTCACGCACAGTCTGATGTTCTCACAGCGAAATTCTCCCCTTATCACCAAAACCTCATTATCGGTGGCACTTACAGCGGCCAAGTACTGCTGTGGGATATGAGAGCAAAGTCGGCACCCGTCCAGAAGACGCCACTTACAGGATACGGCCACACGCACCCCATCTATTCGGTTGATATCGTGGGTACTCAAAACGCCAACAACATCATTTCAACTTCTACGGACGGTGTGGTCTGCGGCTGGAGCATGGACGTCTTTGCCCAGCCGCAAGAGCTGTTGGAGCTCAAGGCACCACCCGGCTACAAGTTGGACGATATCAGCCCGACCTCTTTAGCATTTCCCCAAACGGATCCTACGTTTTTCCTCGTTGGCAGTGAGGAGGGCACTATTTTCCCTTGCCACAGATACGACCGAGCCGGCGCAAAGGCCGGAGTTGATGCTCGTGTCAGCTACAAGGGACACACGGCACCGGTCATGTCGGTGGACTTCCATCCTGCCCGCGGTCCTGTGGATCTTGGTGACTTGGTTCTCTCATCTTCTCTCGACTGGAGCGTCAGACTGTGGAAGGTTCGCGCACCCGCGGCGACATCGACAGCAGGTGTTGAGCCGACTGTTTCACCTCTTATCGACTTTGTGCGAGAAGACGTGGTATATGATGCACAATGGTCGCCGATCAAGCCCAGTGTTTTCGCCCTGGTTGATGGGGCAGGCTGGCTCGAGCTATGGGACATCACAGTGGAGACTGAGGAGCCTGTCGCGAGAATATCCCCGAGCTCTCGCAAGGATGGTAGAACGATGCTTGCCAAGAGCTTGAACAAGGTTGTGTGGGAGCCTTCCGAGGGCAAGCGTCTGGCTACGGGAGGTATCGACGGAGTCTTGACCGTGTTCGAGGTGGCGTCTGGCCTAGGAGGAAGAGACGACCTCAAGGCGGAGGAGTGGACAAACGTGAAGAAGCTGGTCAATAGGGTTGAGGCTCACGGTTTGAATGGAGCGATGGTGTAGAAGCCAACTTCTCTTCGTGTACCTTCTGGGGCGAGAGCCACTATATTCGATTTGTTGGTAAAAGGCGCGTTGCTGTATACCCTGATACCGTGTTGTTGTTGAGCCTATCAATCTACTTCTTGAAGACTACACTCCTTGCGCCGTCCACTGACCGAACTGCTGTGATACTCATTATGTACAAGTAGCCATCGGTTAAGGTATCCGTCAAGTAAGTGGAAACCAAGAGCATCCACCATCTCGGTTGGCCGCCTAGGAATTGAGGATAGCTTGCTTAGTCATCGTATACATAAATGTCCTTGGAAGAACTTTTTTCTTCCGACACTGCATCCCTCTCACCCAAGTCCAACCACAATATTTTGCGAAGCCGAAAGCTTCGGACTACAAATGGTAAGTTGCAACGTACTGTTCTTACTGCTTTTGATACCCAATGGCACAATGATGATCAAAAAAGAATTCTGCAATTCTGAAGACCTCCGGGTCGTTCTGTGGATAAAATCTTCGCCTTACTAGCAACACTGAGCCCGCTTCTCGAAGCTTTTCTTCATTCAAAACATTCAAGCTACGCTCAGGGACATGTCAAGCTAACGTTTGGGACAAAAGATTTGACTAGTTTTTGAAAATGCTTTCTATATACGGCTTCGTTCAATGTCTTAGGTGTTGACGGGGGCACCGTCGGGGTAGCGGCCACCTGCGACCTCGAACTTGGCCAGCGTCGCGTCAATCTCTGCCATCTCCTCCTCGGTGAGTTCCACCAATTTTGCATTCTCCGTGACCCTCGCCGCCGTCGTAGCACCCGGGATGGGAATGATCTCGGGCACGTCGGGCCTCTTGGAGAGGGCGACGACCCAGCCGATGGCTAGCTGTGCGGGCGTGACGCCCTTCTTCTTGGCCAGCGCCTCGACCTGCTCCACGAGCTTGATGTTGATGTCGAACGTGTCGGGCTGGAAGCGGGGCATGTGCCGCCTCATGTCGCCCTGGGGAATGTCGTCGAGCGACTTGACCTCGCCCGTGAGCATGCCACGACCGATGGGCGAGTAGGCGATGATGGGGATGCCGTACTGCGCGCACGCGGCGGCGACGCCGTTGGTTAGGGGTTCGGTCGAGAATAAGCTGAGCTCGACCTCGACGCCGACAATCTTGGCTACCTTGACGGCCTCGTGGATGGTGGCCGCCGAGACTTCGGAGAGGGTGATGCCCCCGACTTTGCCCGTGTCAATGTACTCCTTTTGAATGACGCCGAACGTGACCTCGAGAGGCGTATTCTTGTCCCGCCGCGCGCACTCGAAGATGTCAACCTTTTTCCTGCCCCCGAGCTGGGAAAGGATCTTGTCGAGAGAGCGGCGGACGTTCTCGGGCGAGCCGTCGGGCTTGAGCTGCGGGAGGATGAGGCCGCCCTTCATACTCAGGACGACCTTGTCGGCGTCCTCGGGGTACTTTGTGAAGTAGCGCTCCAGGAGGGTGCTGCTGTTGTACTCTGGCGTTCCGTAGAATTCCCCGCCGTTCCAAAAGTTGTTGCCGTTGGCGAGGGCGGTGCGCATGGCCTCGAAAGCCTGCTCCTCTGAGCAGGGCTGGGGTCGCCATGTGAGGCCCATGAGGCCGTAGCCGATCTGGCCAACTCCTTGTCCGTTGAGCTTAGGCATGTTTGCGTGCTGCTTTTTGGCGATGTTATGAAAATATGTGTGTAAAAGGAGATGCCGGCTTCCAGTTGCTGAATAATTCGTGAGACTTGAGCTGCGGGGTATGGATGCTGTTATCGAGCTATCGAGATGTAGTGGATATCGAGACTCGAGAGTGGTGTACAGCGAACCTAATCTCTAGACGAAGACGTGGGTTTCTACCATTTATATAATGGTGTTCAAGCCTTCGAGATGATATCACCAGTGTTACCGGTAAAGAGGAGAAGGGAGCTAAGAATTACCTCCTGGCTATCCCCATGTGCAAATGGTAAAACGGTTTCCCGCTTTCACGGAGCAGTCCTACCTAACTCAGGTGCTCAGGTACCCCCTACCTTCAATGACGAAT